GATTTTCTTTTTTCTTTTTTTTTTTGAGACGCGTCTTTGCCCTGTGCCCAGGCTGGAGTGCAGTGGGGCGATCTCGGCTCAACTTCCAAGCTCCGCCTCCTGCGGTTCACCACTTCTCCTGCCCTCAGCCTCCCGAGTAGTGGACCAAACAGGCGCCCGCCACCCAACGTCCGGCTAATTTTTGTATTTTAGTAGAAGACAGGGGTTTCACCAGATGCTGGCCCAGGATGGTCTCCGACTCCTTCTGACTTCGTGATCCCCCCCGCCTAGGACTCCCAAAGTGCTGGATTACCAGCATGAAGCCACTGCGCCTGGCTGGTACATGGATTTTTCAAGCCCCTCCCTTAGTGCTATTTGGTATGACGAAGAAATTGAAGTTAACATCATCTGGGCATGGTGCCTCATGCCCTGTAATCTCAAACTTTGGAAGGCCAACTGAAGGAGGTTGCTCAAGCCAGGAATTCAAGACCAGCCTGGGCAAGCAAGTGGGACTCTGTTCTATGTAAAAAGTTTATAATTAGTTGGACATGGGTGGGGGTGCATGCTTGTTTAACCCGCGAGCTACTCGAAGCTGAGGTGGAGATCCACTTGAGCCCAGAAGTCAAGGCTGCAGTAGCCGCAATGGCCCGCCACGCCCTCAGCCTGGCCTGCAAAGTAAGCAACTTGTGTTCTCAAAAAGAAAAAAAAAAGAAAAAGAAGAAAAAGAAAAAACAGAAAGAATTTGAAAAGGGGGCCACGGACCAGTAGTCAGACATAGATTTATATTTCTTTTCAGGAACATACATACAGGCTGGATCGACAAATTAATTATCCATCAATATGCAGGTCTTTCTCCCGAATTAATTGCCGCTGCCCTCAATACTCAGAGATGAATTAGGCTTCATTGTGATGACTCACTCATTCAAAAGTTTTATTTATCTATTATTTATTTATTTTATTTATGTTTTATGTATTTATTTTTGAGACGAGTTTCGCCCTCCTCGTTGCCCAGCTGGAGTGCAATGGCGCTCATCTTGGCTCACTGCCAACCTCTGCCTCCTGGTTTAATGATTCTCCTGCCTTGAGCCCTCCCCTAAATAGTCTGGCGATTACAGCATGTGCCACCGATGCCTAGCTAATTTTTAGTATTTTTAAATGGAGAAGCGGAGTTCTACCATGTTGGTCAGGCCTGGCTTCCCGACTCCAACTCAGTGATCCGCCTGCCTCCGATCTCCCAAAGTAGGCTGGGAGTTACAGGGATGAGCGCCCGCGCCTGCCTATTTTCTTTTTTTTTTTTAAAGACAGGTTCTCATTATCGTTGCCGGCTAGGCGCGTCTTTGAACGCCTGGGGCTCATGTGATCTCCCCGTCTCAGCTTCCCTGATAGCAGGAACCACGTGAATCGCACACACACCAGCGTTTCGACTTTTGATGTGGGCTCCCTGAATGTTTCTCTCCAGCTGCCAGCCCCAGCTCCCACCACTTTCTTCTTTGTGTGCTGTGATCTTGCCATACTACGATGCAGCATAGTCGAAGGTCCACCGCATCTTGGCCAGCGATGGCCATATGCAGATGTGTACGGGGTGGTCACCTGCACAACTTCAGAGCATCTATGGTTACGCCAGTGCTTTTCCGACACTCCCATCTTTCAGCCTATAGTGGCATTGTCAGTTCCTTCTTATTTCCCAGGGCTCTGGGGGCTGCTGGCAGCTTGCTGGGCCACATGTACCCATTTAAGGCTCCCCAAGGCCCCTATGCCCGAGTTGGCCTTCAAACTGCTTGACCCTGTGTGGATTCTTAGTCCTCACAAAACAGTCTTATGAAGTAGGTGCCATGTTACCAATGAGGAACCTGATGTCCTAGAGATGAAAATATACCCATCTAGCAAGTGGCGCAGCCTGGATGTGATAACTTCAGGGCTAGCAATCAACTGGGCTGGTCAATTTCAGATCGTTGAGAAGAGGGGAGGCTGTGGTGGCTTTCGGACAGAGCTTAGTCACTATGGATGGAGGTCTAAGAGAGACTCTCGAACAAGTGAGGAGCCAGCGTATCCTTAATATGCTGTGGAACCTGGGTCATACTGCACCTGAAGCCCTTGCTGTTGCTGGACGCAATTTACATTTCCTAGTATTCTTTTTTTTTTTTTTTTTTTTCAGGACAATTTCACCATCTTTTGCTCACGCGGAGTGCAGCTGGTGTGATTCTCGCTCACTGAACCTCTGCCTTTCTTGGTTTCAACGCGATTGCTCCTGCCTCAAGCTTCCCGGTTAGCCTGGGTATTAGAAGCACCCGACAACTTTTTGCATATTAGGGAGGGGAGGGGGAAAATGGGGGGGGGGTCTTCATCATGCTGCCAGGCTGGTCCTCCGAGCTCCTGCCCTCGGATCACGCCCGCCTCAGCCTCCCAAAGTTCCTGGAATTACAGGAGTTGAAGCCACCTGCCCCCGCCCTACATGTTCCTATAATCTTCGAGCTTCATTTGAAAGTAGTTTTCTGTTCACTTGTTTAACAGATATTTTAATGCGAATGCAAAGCTCAGCTCAAAGTCCCCTCCTCCAGGAACATCACTTCCTTAAAGGCCCCGCCCGGGGACACTCCCAGCCCACATCTACACATCTGTTGCAGGCTGCACCTGCCTGGCTTCTCTGTCTGCTCTCCCTGTGGGAAATGCAGCCTCCCAGCATCCTCCCCTGTCGTGGTTCGATCTTTCCTGATGTGCTTCACTGCTCCCTCCTGCCCAGCCACTCCCTACCGGTGCCAGCCTGGCCTGCCTTTGGAGGACAGTGGCAGAAAATCTAACAGCCCTACTGCCAGGGGCACCAACACGCTGCAAACAGCAAGGCTGAGGTAGGAGAAGGTGTTTCATGGCAAACACAGCGGCTGGCTGAACCCAAGTTCACTGGCTAGCAAAGGGCCTGGC